TTTTTCCATCTCCAACAGCAGCAGTTAAGGAACCTCCGGGTTGTTTCACGTTGGTCATTCCAGCAGGTACGTTATCTGATCCTGTCAGAAAGTTTGGAGCTGGAAGAACAAGGAGAAGGGAGGTCGTTAACAAAGGTCCTTCCAACTTAAAAAATTCGCCGTATAGTTGCCAAGTGACTCGATCGTGTCAGGCAGAGCTGAATAGCGAGATGCTACGTCATAGGTGTGCGATCAATAACGTGGACTCAAGCGCACGAGGTTCATTATTCAAAGAAGGTGTTTTGTTTTCCTTGAGGGCATTTTTCCATTTCCAGTGTTTTTAAGGAAAAAATTAATTTTTGAAATTTTTAGGGGGTGTACGAAGATTTTGGAGGTTGTTCTGTAAAAGAAAAGAAAAGCAACAAGGGAAGCAACGCCTAGAAAAACAGAATGGAAAATAAAGAATGCTCTCTCCAGGCCATACTATTGATTGGCGAATCTTCATCTTTAACCTAAATTTTTTTACCAACTAGACACAAATACCGTACTTTATAAACTCCGGCAGTTTTTGATGATGTTCGTATCATCCTCTTCAGGTTAGTAACGTAGTAACAAAATATTCCTTGTTTGACCTTACTTGTTTGCTTTTTTATTACGCTTTGCCGCGCTCTGCTGTGATGAATGGGCGTTTTCTGTCCCAGATTGTGTTTCCCAGAATGCTTTCCGGCAACGCTTCTACCCATCCTCCGTTGAAAAGAAATCAAGATTGCATCAGGATCATACGGGTTTTTGTTCATGTTTTAAAATATTGTTTCTTTTAACACTTACCTAAGAGCGAAGATGATGCTTACAAACAGAACTACCCCTCTGATCATATTGAAACGCTTATTAAGAAACACTTTTCAAACTGAATATTACCGACTTCAATGAAGAGGAGTTCTCTTATGAAACAAGAGTCAGACCAAAACTTTTTAATGCCAGTTACTGATAGAGATGATGTAAACCTGAATCAAGATGACAACTGGATTAGCTCAATTGGTCATGATCTGATTCAATCAAACTTTTTTTTCCTTTTTTTTTTCACACTTCTCTTTTGAATGTCAAAGCAGTTTCGCGAAGTTGTCTACTGAGTACAGTATCTTAAAAAAGCCTCCTTAAAGTAATACAAAAGTGAATCGTGGTTGATAAAGGGGATAATTATTTCAGATTTAAGCGACGATGATGCAATTACAGTTGTCACAATTTCGGCTCTTATGAGATTTTACCTGTGGTAGAACACTCTACTACTCATGTAGACATTTACTTGTTTTAAATAAGATTATAGAAGGTTATAACAGGTGCGTTTTGGTTCTGTAGACTGTGTTACCTGCCACTGATTTGCTTTTCGATCCCTTCACGCTGACAAATTGTCTCAATGTTACCCATTGACACCAAAGTTTAAAGATGTGTTTCAGATGAGCTAAAGCTGTTTTCCCAAACACGGTTGAAAATTGCTCTCTCTATAGAATCTGCTTAAACCTTCTTTTTCGACTTCAAATTGAACACATTGGAGATGAAAAATAGTGACTTCTTGAAACTTATGAAAAATTCAGTTATTCAGTCCTCTGCCTCTGATTATCGTTGAGTTAAACCCGGTTTCACTAAACATGTTTTGCTGGTATGAATAGGGTATGTGATTCTTTTTTTTTCATCATCGGATATTATAACACCAAAATGTTTCGGGTTAACTCAGTACTGTACATCATAGCCAGACGATTAGCAGAAGTGAGATGTGTAACGATGTTTCTCTTCCATCGGGTGGTTTGAAGAGTCCAGAGACCTTAAAGTGATGTGCTCGTATACCAATGCATTACTGAAGGAAATATTTCAAATTCTTTGTCTTATTTTAACAAAGTGCGACGTAAAATTTCATCATTGAACTCGACCACACCGTTTTTAGTGACAATGAATAACAATCATTTGCCCAAAGTGAAATGAATATTGTTGAATAATCCTCGAGATAAATTCTTCTGTAAATTCGTTTTGTTGTTGAAGCCATCCTGTAAATACAGAAAGCTTTGCTCATATTTTTTTACAATGGTTTGATTACTCGGAGATAAGCAGCCAGTTTCCACAAGTATTTATAAAGCAGCCAAAACTTACTTTTGAAATTTAAAGTGTTACATCAAATTAACCTGGTGGCATCTTTTGTGCTCTTCGGAGTTGAACTTCTCCTATTGCGTTAATCATTTCTTTAGTAATATTATCAAAAAGCGAGGCAGTGGGTTAGACTAGAGGCATCTTTTATTGCACACTTTTTCCGCACATCTACCATCATTCTTTATTTCCCTTTTTAATCATTTAATTCCACATTACAAAAAGAACTTTTGTTGCCAGCTGATATCAAGTATTATAAGGCTGATATAAGTATATTTTCTCTTTCCCTGGTAAAATTCTGGTAAATCTGATTGTAAGGTTCAGCCCTACGCCTATGACATGCTTCTTCTAGTCACTGCCACAATAACGGAGGTTGCAATCGGGCGTTTTCACCAGTTTGTAGACAAAGAACGATTCGCAGTTTCGTACTTCAATGTTGGCTTTAAAGAAACAATTTTTGCCAACCCAGTTGAAACAGACTTCTCTAGATACCTAAACCAAAAAACATTGGAATTGAAAAGATAAATAAATGTCTACTCATCACAAATATATTCCTATGTTAGAATTAAGATACATGTTATGCTGTGATATAATCTAAAAAAAAATTTGCTTAAAAGCCGATTGAAAACACTTTTCACGTTTTTTTTCTCGTGTAAAGTCATAAAGCTTGTGTTCTCACTGGTACGGGAATGTTCCAAGAGGAGCTCTGTTTAGCAGCCCTTTTGTAAAATTTTAGTTTGCCTTTGAAGAAGTTGTGTTTTGCGAACTTTCTTCGGTAAATATCTGTACTTACAACCGTTTTCGCCAACGCGCTATAGGTTAAAATGTGTCGCGTAGTCGAATGAGCCCCGGCTAAACCTGAAGATTATCTGGTGATATTCCCCCGGATATATTCTCCAATTTTCAAACATTGCTTTCAATGCCATGAAAGTCTTCCTTTAAAAGTTGATTTAAGTTTGAGAGAGTTTTGCTGTTGTTTCATTAGCGGGGATAAATTTGCTTGCTCAACATCTGTTTTCAATGTGATCGTTTTGTTACGCGCACAGCAATAAAGGGAAAAAAAAGAGAGAATAAATGCATTCATTTGGCTTAGAGATGTGCACGTATATATATCCTTCGGCATCATCTGTTATCCGAAGTCCACAGCTTTCCTAAAGCTTCGCTCTTCGAAATTCATTCGCTTCTCGGAACAAATAATGTCCGTGGACAAATATCCGAGAATAATCTCGCGCCAAACGGAGACTAATGTTCATTTACATGAATTACCCTAACAAAAAATGTTACTGCTGTAAGAAGTGTGATCAGAGCACCTTTCCCTCAGCAACGGATGGATGTCGTCCATTCAGCCACCCTGGTGCATGCGTGCCACATATCTTTTCATTTGATGGTGACCCTGGCATCTTTGAGCCTGCGGCTCCTGTGAAGCGGTACCACGCTTCTTCTATTTCGTCGTCACATGCAATTCCGCCCAAAGCGTAGGTATTCTTCCTGTCAGCGCTGTCCAGAACTTTGTAGCCTTCACACTCTAGTTTGCAATATGGCAAAAACAGAGCTGAAAAACGTCTGCGCGTGTCCCAAACTCACTTTTCAATACATAGCAACAGTGAACATTTAATAAAATGGCGGGAATTTTTTTAAAAAAGCGGCAACATCCACTCTTTAGTTAAAACCCTGAAGACTGCTCAGCACGTATTTCAACATCATGGAGGCTCAACGTACACAAAATGAATTCATTTTTGTGAATGAAAACATTTTTTGTGTCCCTGTCAAAGGACCGTTGGTAGAGAAACTAAAAGCTTTACCTTGCTAACTGAATTATTTAAACATGGGCAAAAAACGGCATCGCCTATCAATTTTTTCTAAAATGTTGCCATGTTATCATGATGTCGCTTTGGTTTTATATTTGAGTCTATAAAAATTTGTGACGAGCGGAGACGTTTTCCAGTTTTTCAAGCAGGTAGATTGGACATTTAGACATTTATCAATCATGTCTAGTTGAAGAAAAAAAATCTGAAATTCGTGGTAATCGTTGAGTATTGACTAGACTTTGGTTGGTGAGGGGTGGAGATGCCTCTGTGAGGATTCGCGATGACCTGCGATGGCTCAAATTGATAAAACTGAATGGGGAAGGAGAAGAGCGGAACCTGCTTTGGGCAAATACTCCTTCTGGGTAATTTAAGATAGCCAAAGATATGTCTAGTCAGCACAAATATCGTCTTATGATAGAATTAAGATATATGTTATGCTGTGTCACAATTGAAAACAAAAATTTTCATAAAAGCCGATTGAAAACACTCAGGTTTTTTCTCTCATATAACGTCATAAAGCCTGTGTTCTCACTGGTACAGAAATGTACGAAGTGATA